AAAACTCTTTATATTTATTGTTTTATTTATAAAATTTTAAACTTTAAATTTTATTTAAAAGGAAATCAAATTTCTCACATACAAATACTCATGCTTGTAGATTGTTAGTGTTTTTGGGTATTAACATTTCAGTATTCGGTAATCATATTGAGTTATAATGAATTCGAAATTTAGCTGTGTCAACTCTTATGGGGGAAAACTCTCTTAATATTTGTTTTTTCGTTCAGAAGACTTGAATTCGAGATTTTATTTAAAAAAAATCGAGTTCTTTTCAATCAGACCAACAAATCATTAATGATAGATTGTTAGTGTTAATAAAACAATTATGGATCCGAAGGTCACCATCAAAGATTCAACATGAATCCGCGAACTCTATTAGGGAAAGCTCTTTTAATATTTTATTAATTTATATCAAGTCGTATTGAATCCTATTAAGAAAAAGCTTTCTTAACATTTATTTTTTTATCCACAAAATTTAAATTTAAAATTTTGTTTAAAAAAAATTGACTTTTTTTCATTTAAATTAACAAATAGTTGGTGATAGATTGTTACGATTAATAAAACGGTCATCTCATGGATCCGTAGCTCACCGTCAAAGATCCAATATGAATCACGTGGTGGCACGTCATTTGCCCCAAACCACGCCACGTGTGAAGCTCAAGCAACGATGAGGATTCTTTCGATGGGACCGACGGTGAAGAATTCATAACACTTGTCCGCCACGTGGAAAATCGACAAAATTCTAAATTACCTGATTTTGACACATAAATCAAATCAAATCATTTCATTTCATCCCTGGAAATGGTATTACTCGGCACGTCCAGTTCTGGTGCCAGCAGCTTTTGCCGAAGGAGAAGGATGGCCGTTTCTATCTCTCAAACTCAGGCACTCTTTCTCTCCGCCGGAAAAACCAACCGGAATCTCTCTATGCAGAGTGCGGCGCTGTTTCAAGCTAGAACCAAGCTCCCCACTCTTTCTCACGCCTCCGGCTCTTTCAGTTTCATCTACTCCGGCCAAAAATGTTCTTTCACCTACAATCCTCTCAGGTTCGTTTTATTCAATTCAAGAAAACTCGATTATAAAAGCAAAGTGTTCGTCTCATATCATTTTTGGATCATAAATTTCAGGTTTTCTGTTAAGGAATTGAAGAAAAATAGGAGAGGATCCGGCGCTGTTTGTTCAGCTGCGCCTCTCACTGTCCGTAATCTTCAGTGGATCTCCGCCATCGCTAATGCGTATGTACC